GACTACAGGCGCCCACCACCACGCCCAGCTACTTTTTTTTTTTTTGTATTTTTAGTAGAGACAGGGTTTCACCGTGTTTGCCAGGATGGTCTCAATCTCCTGACCTCGTGATCTGCCCGCCTCGGCCTCCCAAAGTGCTGGGATCACAGGCATGAGCCACCACGCCTGGCCTTTCTTTTCTTTTTTTTCTTGGTTAGGCTGGAGAGCAGTGGTATGATTATAGCTCACACTGGGCTCAAGCAATCCTTCCACCATAGCCTCCTCAGTAGCTGGGACCACAGGACGTGCACCACTAAGCCTGGCTAATTTTTTTATTTTTTATTTCTTAAAGACAAGGTCTCTATCACCCAGGCTGGAATGCAGTGTCACAATCATGGCTTACTGCAGCCTCAATCTCCCAGGCTCAGGAAATCCTCCCATCTCAGCCTTCTGAGGAGCTGGGACTACAGGTGCAGGCCACCACGCTTGGCTTTTTTTTTTTTTTTTTTTTTTAGAGAAAGGGTCTGTTTATGTTGCCCAGGTTGGTCCCAAACTCCTGGCCTCAAGTAATCTGCCAGTCTCAGCCTCCCAACGTGCTGGGATTACAGGTGTGAGCCACTGCACCCGGCCTGCCTTCTTAATAAGGCACTTCTGTGTAAAAGAGTCATTTCCAAGTACAAGAAAACCTCTACTGAAGGCTAAGAAGAGACCAAGTAAGATTTGGGGCAGTGGTTTCTTTTCCATTCGTGACATCATTTCCTTGATGGGATCTTTTTAACAAAGATTGAAAAAGCCAAATACAGTCAAGGAAGTTGTGCCTATTTCAACAGCAGCAGCATTGGGGCTGAGAAGTCCATTCAGAAAAATACAGATTTCTCTCTCTGCAGATCCGAGCAGCCTTCAAACCCAAAGGGATTGCGTCCACGCTGTGGCCACCCTGTTGTTGCTGAGAGGCTGAGCGGCGGGCGGGCGCACATTACCTGTGGGGAGGCTGGCACAGGAGGGGCTGCCGCCGAGGGACGCAGAGCCACGGATGCTGACGAATCCGCTCCACCCTCGGAATTCTGCATGCTCAGGTCTAAAGAAAGGCAGAGAGAGATTGGGTGGGCAAGGGTTGCAAGCACTGAAACCCCAAGAGGCAACTAACAAGTTCATGGGAGGGAAGGAGTAACCAGCTACATTCTTCGAAGTTGAAAGGCAGAGACCCTGGCGGTACTGCCTAAGTGAGGAGCTGTGGGAGCAGGCTGCACAACTGTCCCACACAAGGAGAGAGGGGCCAGAGAAAGTTTTCCAAATATAAACCCCAAAAAGAGCTCTGTCACCGCACAATGGCAGGAATTCCTCAACAGAAGGCTGGGACAATAGCTCTGTGCCCAAGTCTGAGCAGGTTGAACTATTTTGAAGGGCTCAATTGTTTACTCATTTCTCCAGCAAATCAAAAGCTCTGGGTGGGTGACTGCTATCTGGGGAGCTACTGCACCCCAAACGACAATGGGAGATACTCTAAGGCTGGGTGTCCCCACTGTGGCACCACTGACATTTGAGCTGAATACTTCTTTGCTGTTGCAGGCCCATCCTGGGCACTGCAGGGCGCTGAGCAGCCTCCCTGGCCTCCACCCCTTCCATGCCAGGAGCACTCCCCCTCCAAGCTGTGGCAATCACAGATGTGGTCAGATATTGCCAAGTGACCCCTGGGGGGCAGCGTGAGAACCACTGGCGAGCGAGAGAAAAGGTGATCGCAGAGGGAGCAAAGAAATGGTGCGTTTTATCCTGGGCTGGATAAAAGCCCTCACGGATTTTGGCAGTAAGTAAAAACTGCCTTCTGTTCAAAGCCATCTTTGCCCACAAGTATACTTTATACAAAGTATAAACATGTATTTCTTTGCTGTCAGAGGCATACATCTTTCAAAGAGGTAGTTTAAAAATTCTATATAAAACGACTCATTTAATATCGTGGCAGATAATATAAATTTGTTCCATGAAAGTGCTAAAAGTCAAACAGTCTTCACTTTTAAATAAACAATCGGCTATGTCGAGCATTTGAGACATAGTTAAGTATACACACTTAGGTAGGGAGGTGGCTTTGTGATCAGGCACCAGCTCTGAGCATGTCACCCACCCAATGTGGGGTCTCCACGGCTCCTGCCTGCTTGGGGCAGTGAGGACTGAACCTCAGGCATACATCGTGGTGCACATGACATAGAACACAATAGACATTTGCTAGAACTTTTCTGTTTCTCTATCACCTCCAGAGTTTTTATCTCTTAGCACGAGTGAAAAAAAAAATTTAAGCCTTTTAAAAACGAAAAGCCGGGCGCGGTGGCTCACGCCTGTAATCCCAGCACTTTGGGAGGCCGAGGCGGGCGGATCACGAGGTCAGGAGATTGAGACCATCCTGGTTAACACTGTGAAACCCCGTCTCCACTAAAAATACAAAAAAATTAGCCAGGCGTGGTGGCGGGTGCCTGTAGTCCCAGCTACTCGGGAGGCTGAGGCAGGAGAATGGCGTGAACCCGGGAGGCGGAGCTTGCAGTGAGCCGAGATCGCGCCCCTGCACTCCAGCCTGGGCAACAGAGCGAGACTCCGTCTCAAAAAAAACCCAAAAGACAAAAACGAAAAGCCAAACTTATAATAGATTAAACTAATTTACCTAAGGAAAGCAGAAAGGGATGTGTGTGTTTGAATTCGAGTGTGCTGGATCAATCACATCTGTATTGTTGGCGACTATTCTCCGACCACCACCACCCCACCCCCAGTTCCCCTCCCGAATACCTTTGGTGCGAACCCAGAGACCCATGGCCAGTGCCTCGGGATTTTTCTGTTCTGTGTGAGCCTGACTCACTTCTCACCACTAGATGGCCCCAGAGCCACACGGTGATTGGCTGGGGCGTTAACTAAACCTTACACAGCCTGCACCTCCTACCTTCCATTCTTTCAAAAGATTGTAAATTTCCCATAGTGTATTTCCTGAGTCCTCAACTCATTCTTTCTGTGTTTGACAGACCTGACCTTTGGAATTTTTCTGTTGGAAGCTGCTTGTATTCACAGTTTCCTTTAAATGTTTAAATCATTTGCCCACCATCCACCATGCTGTTCCCATCTGAAGCCAAGTGGGTAGCGTCAGTGATACTAGAAGGAGATTATTTGACTAGACCTCTTTGTGAAAGGAGTCCACCAGTGATAAAGCGAGAATGCTGACTTGACTAAGACCAGGTCCTTGTTCCACAGGTGGAAATAATTTTGCTCCAAACTCCACATCTTATTTAAGTAAGAAGAGGCCGTGAGAGTGTCAATGGTGAGACCGTAGTCTGTCCACCATGGCCAGAATGCACCTTCCAGAATGCAAGTTATTCCACATCACAGGCATTTATACATGATTGTGTTCCCCTAATTTATTTTTATTATTTATTATTATTATTCTTATTTTTTTTGAGATGAAGTCTTGCTCTGTCGCCCAGCCTGGAGTGCAATGGCATGATCTTGGCTCACTGCAACCTCTGCCTCCCAGGTTCAAGTGATTCTCCCGCCTCAGCCCCCTGAATAGATGAGATTACAGGCACCCACCATCATGTCTGGCTAATTTTTGTATTTTTATAGAGACAGGGCTTCACCACGTTGATCAGCCTGGTCTCAAACTCTTGACCTCAGGTGATCTGCCTGCCTCGGCCTCCCAAAGTGCTGGGATTACAGGCATGAGCCACTGCGCCCAGCCTGTTCCCCTAATTTAACACACTATTTACCATGTGCTGTCTTATAGGTCAGACCAATGAGTCTGTGGCTTTTTGCCTGCAGGCACGCCCCAATCCACAAATGCTTGGGTGCCAGAAAGCAACAGCCTCATTATCCTGAAGGGTCAAAGGACAGAGTCCTGAATGCTGGGGTGTGGAGATTCTGGAAGAGAGAGCCACAGAAGGGGTGAGCCGCCAAATCTTCCTACAAAATACACCTGAATCTTTGGCTAAGCAACTACACCACAAAGGTGTAGGGGAGATACCAGGGATCTTGGGGAAAAACCAGCAGTGCAAAGATAAAAAAATTAAGTGAAGACTTCAGCTGCTGCCTGTTGCAGGAGGGAGAGTTTGAATCTAGCCAAGTCACTTGCCTTCAGGGGAACTCAGCTGAATCTACAGATTCTATAACACATCATTAATGATGTCCAGGACCCAGTAAAAATGAGCTAGGAAAAGAAACAGGAAAGTGTACCTACACTCAAGAGAAAGAGTAACAAATAAAAGGAAAAAAGAAAAGCAGTTAATTATAACCAAACCCAAGATAATCCAGATGATATAGATAGCATACAAGGACTAAAGCAGCTACTAAAAATAACTTCAAGAACTTAAAGGAAGTTATATACATAATGAATGAACATATGGGAATCTCAACCAAGAAACAGAAAGTATAAAAGGTGAACCAGGCCGGGCGCGGTGGCTCATGCCTGTACTCCCAACACTTTGGGAGGCCGAGACAGGTGGATCACAAGGTCAGGAGATCAAGACCATCCTGGCTAACTCGGTGAAACCCCGTCTCTACTAAAAATACAAAAAATTAGCCAGGCGTGGTGGTGGGCACCTGTGGTACCAGCTACTTGGGAGGCTGAGGCAGGAGAATGGCGTGAACCCAGGAGGCGGAGCTTGCAGTGAGCCAAGATCGCGCCACTGCACTACAGCCTGGGTGAGAGTGAGACTCCATCTAAGAAAAAAAAAAGTGAACCAAATAAAAATTCTGGAGCAATAACTGAAGTAAAAACTTAACTAGATGCACTCAACAGCTGGTCAGAGATAATGGAAAGAGTTAGTGAACTTAAAGATAGAAAAAAAGCATTTACCCAATCTGAAGAATGAGGAGAAAATATATGAAGAAACATGGATAGAACACACTGTCTAATATATAGGTAAACAGAGTCCCAGAAGACAAAAAGAATGTAAGAGAAAAAAATATTGAAAAATGGCCAAACATCTCTACATTGGGTGATGGATATCAACTTAGAGGTCCAAAAATCTCAACAAACCCTAAAAAGAATACAAAGAAAGCCAAGATAGGTATGTCATGGTTAAACTGTTAAAAGAAGTAAAGAGAAAATCTTGGAAGCAGTCAGAGAAAAACTACATATTATATTCAGAGAACAAGGGCATGGATGATGACTGACTTCTCATCAATAACAATGGCAGCCAGAAGGCAATGGAATGACATTTTTTAATATGCTGGGCGGGAAACCCTATCAGCCCATAATTCTATCTCCAGCAAAACTATTTTTAAAAACTGAAGGTGGAATAAAGACATTTTTTGCGTAAACAAAACCTGATGAAGTTTTCTGTCTACACTATGAGAAATGCTAAAGGAGTTCTTCAGGATGAAAGGAATTAATATCAGATGGTATATGTGGATCTATTAGAAGGAGTTAAATATCACTTAAAATGATAAATATGCAAGTAATTATAAAAAAACTGTATTTTTCCTTTTCTTCTCTTAATTTATTTTAAATACATAAAACCATTTAACAAAAACTTTGTAACACTCCATTGTGGGGTTTATATCATATGTAGTTGTTTTCTATGACAATTATAACACAGAGGATAGGGACAAATTAAGTTATACATTCAAGGTTCTTGTATTTTACCTAAAGTAAACTGTAAATTGTGATAAATTATCAATGCACATTGTAACCTCTGAAGCAACCACTAACAAAAAGAAAATATAAAAAGATATAGCTAAAAAGCTAATAGAGAAATCAAATGAAATCCTACTTAACATATTTGATTATCCAAATAAAGGCAAGAAATAAAGAACAGAGAAACAAAAAACAGATGACACAAGTAGAAAGCAAATGGCGGAACTGCTTTGCTAAATCCAGATATATCAATATTATATTAAATGTAAATAAACTAAATTCTTGAATGAAAAGGCAGAAATGATCAGCCTGGGTAACAATCAAGTTCCCATTATATGTTCCCTAAAAGAAACCCTCCTTAAAAATAAAGGCACACATAGGTTGAAAGTAATAGAATGAAAAGAGATCCACTGTGCAAACTCTGATCTTAAGAAAGCTGGAGTGGCTATAATAATCAGACAAAACAGACTCTGAG